GGGGTTAGAACTAGATGATCCATGGGGTCCCTTCCAAGACAAGCCATGCTATGATTCTATGATCTCCCTGGCTCATGGGAAGCCAGTTGGAGTTCAAATTCTTTTTCTAGTTCATCACATCCTGCTCAGACAGGAAAGAATGCCATTGCTGGTAAAACAAACTCAAAATTCAGGTGCTGGATTTACAGTTCTTCCGCGGCATCAGGCTTTGGCTGGGCAGGAGACTGGGGAAAGATTTTCTGGTTTTATTCTTTAGCAGATGAATTATGGCATAAGTAGAGCTCCTGACACAGTCCTCTGTTATCTCCTCAGCTTTACAGCAAGACTTCAGGGGTTTGAAAGGTGATTTCTACCATCAGCTACTGCTTTTCCTGGCTGTCCACCAGTGATTATCCAGGACACAGAGGATTTTGAGGTGGGAAGTGCACCCCTGAGGCACTGCTGAGCATCTTTAAAGCATGAGACACTGGATTCAATAGAAGTGGCTTAATACAGTAGCTGTTTCCCCCTGAGCCACAAAACACCAAGATAACACGAATACCAACTGTCTAAGTCAGAGTTTGGTTTGCTGTGCTGAAGTAAGAACCTAATTTACTTGGTTTTGATGAGGATGATGCTTCTACTTGTAATATAGTGTGGGATTTACACCTCGCTTGAGGAAAAGCAAGTTTAGAAATGCCGATTTACTGGGGGAGCAGAGAGAGGTTCTTGAAGGTAGAGAAGAACAGAGACCTATAGCAGCCAGTCAGGTTACTAAGTCCCATCCCCTGCTGAACCATAGCCCAGACTGTGTCATCCCCTCCAGATGCCAGCCACTTTTCTTTGGCAAAATAACAAAGCGTTTGCTCTGTGAATAGCTTGGAGAGCTTAATGCTAAACCTCAGTGTCTGGGGGGTAGAAGCTTTCTAACTGAGATGCACTCTATGCATGTCCTGTCTGAATGCCAGTTTGTGGGCTGGTACTGCCCTTTCAATAGATGCATTTCCTCTTTCTCAATGTTTCCCCGGTGTATCAGCAGGCAGGGAAAGTGGTTTGTTGGACTTGTCCTGCGGCCCTGCAGGACACTGACAACCCCCAGGCAGGCTTGACACTTCCCTGAGATTTGCTAACAGAGCTCTGCAAGGAGTCCATGCAGCCAGCTCTCAAATGGCAGAGTATCCTTGCTCTCCTGTCCATGATGATAGGACAAAATCTTCTGAGTCTCCCTGATGAAATTGCCTTGATGGGGGAAGAGAGCAGGCGCCAGAAGAGGGTCAGGATGAGGCATATGAGCCTGCACTGTGGCTGAGGCAGCCTTCCTTCTGCTCCTTGCTCATGTTCATGGTGAGAAACAAGTTTTCTATTATTTCTTCTTGTTGCCATCTACAAAATATGCTGTGTTTAAAAGAGATTCATAAAATATTTCATTAACATGCTTTAAATAGAACTACATATTGTCCCAGGATGAAGAAATAATGTCAGGGCTCTGTTTAGATAAGGCTTTTTTTTCTCCTGTGGTACACCTTATACTGTTCATTTGAGTCCTATATAGAATCCATCCCAACTAAAACCTCCTTTCCCCTTCAAGAACAGCACCTGAGCTATCTTTAAAGGGATATAGTGATTCCATTCCTGAACTGTGTCCCCACGTCATCGTGGGGAGGATCCCACTGTGGCAGCAGGTAGCCTGGCTGGAGAGGCACTAAGGGTTGGCACAAGTTTTTGTTGTTCCTGTTCTGCTAAGCTTCAAGGACATTCTTCAAATTCCTTTCTCCCAGCCCAGTTTTTTGATAACCCATAAATAGCTTCTTTTGAAACACAATGCTGAAAGCCCCAACTAATGAGCCAAGAGTGAAAATGTTTCAGTATTTAAGCATTTCATTGAACTTGTGGAGGCCAAAAGCTTCAGTGCTCTATTCAGACTTAAAATAAAAAACAAAACCAAAAACATATTCAAGAAATGCTATTTCCTTCCCTCGATTCCCATAAAACAAGGCCGTTTTCCTTCAGTCATCATAAATATACCTATGGAGCACAAAAGGTCATGAAAATAGCAAGAATGAGCTGAGCTACAGCAGCTCTGTGTTCTTTCATGAAGTCAGCTTGGAGATCATGGCCAGGGTTCAGATACCTAAATATTCAGATACCTAAATATGGATAGAGCTGTGCATACTCACCAAGGCTGAACTGCCAGGAGCCTTTATGTTCAGAGCTGGAATTTGATCAACAATTTCTAAAAAATTATCTGTGATGTCTAATTTTGGGCACCAAAAAGCAAATCTATTTCAGAACACAAGTTCCTTATGGAAATATTGAGATTTAACTTCTTTCATTGGATTGCTTTGTTCCATGACTGTGAAGGCAAGACCAGGGAGCAGTGACACTGAGCTTTCTCAGTATTAATATTGTATCCTGTTCATTCAGCACATCCTCCTAGCAACATGAAGTAAATTTTTTGGCTTTAAGGCAAAGCAGTGTTTTCAGAGAAAGCAATTTCCAAAAGGAAAGAAAAATGTTTTGCCTTCCTGAAGACTTTCCACCTGTGCCCATATGTGTCATGTTAACTGCCCCACTCAGCACAAGTCCTGCTGTAGTCTCTGGGATGCCCTCCTGCTGAACCCTGTGCCACTGGTTAGCATTATTATTAGCAATTTAATGTCACTAGATGATAATCCATGGATAATAACAGAGTAAAATACCTGTTATCAACTTGGCTGTGGGATCTAGAAATGCCAGCTGGTCTTTTTTATCCTGTCAAATCTAAGCCCTCTGTACCACAACTAACATTTTTGCATTAAATGGCCCTGAGTATCAGCGATATTTATTCACCCCCTAAGCCAGCCTTACTCTGAAGCATGTGTTTACCTTTCTACCTGGGAGTATTCCTTTTAAATGATACAGCCTGTATGATTAGTTTTAGCACAGGCTAAATTGCCGCAGGTGATGAGGGTCTCCAGGAGAAACACCCTCTCCTTCCCTGCTCTCTGCATCCCATCCATTCTGGAGGAGATTAAGAGATTGAAGACATATTGCACTCATTTTGGTGATAGCTGCTATAAATGTTAAGTGGCCTGTGAGGCTGGTAATATCCTGCAGAAAGCAGCTATGATAATAAGTCATGACAAAAGTACTAGAAATGCCTCACAGCTTGTCAGCTAATGTGTCTTTGCTGAGGAAATAAGCACAAGGAGCAGAAAACTCACTTCCAGTCTGGTCACTCTCACATAACTTTCTTTCACTGACTAGGAGGTAGTTGAAGGTGCAACTAGATCTTGTGATTGTTTGGCTCCCTGTCTCTGGGCATGGTACTACCCTCTGCAGTCCACTGAAGTGCAGCCTAGGAATTCAGTGGTGGGACATTCCCATCCCCACTTTGCAGAAAAAATACCATCTGTCACCCTTGCTCAGGATGCTGCCATCACTTCTGCTTCCCAGCCAGGGAGAGGCTTGTCCCTCCCTGAGGTCTCCACTCCCACTTGCCCCAGCAATGCTGTGATGTCATGGACTGACACTTGGAAGAGCTCGTTTTCCCGGATTGGCTCTGTCTCCTGGTTCTCCCCTAATAAAATGACTTGTTGGTTTAAGATGGTGTCTCTCAAGTTTTCTTCCAACTTTAGGAAATTAGATTTGTTTTTCAACTTGATCTGTATCTCTGAGAGTTTGACCAGTTTCTCAATCAAATGCAAGACCAAACATTATGACATTTTTCTTCCTTCTGTGGGATGTAGATCAAACTTTTTCCAAACATCTAGCTACTTTTAGTAGTAGAATTTTAATCATTCATTCACACATCATTAAGGATACAAAAATGGGCAATAGTTGTGAAAGATGTGGCCACTAAATACTTGACAAAGACCTTCAGCTGGTACAAATGGCATTTCTCCAGCTGTACAGAGAGTGCTGCAGCTGTAGAGCAGCTGAGCAACCAAACCTTGTGGTGCCTTGGCCACAGGGACCTGGCACAGTGCGTGTCACAGTGACTGGAGAGTGCCTGTGTGTCACAGTGACAAGCTGGAAAGGCAGGCAGTAGAGGCATCCTCAGCCACACCAGCCTGGAGTCAAGACAAACCCAGGTTCACCCTGTTTGAAGGAATGCCGAGAACTAATACAGAAAAATGGATGCACCTTTATGCACTTCGTAACATCAGGCCGACAAGCACGATAAAACTGCAAGAGGACAGACTAACTCTAAAAAGACTACCAGGTGCTTCCCTGTTGCTGAGCTGTGTTACTTGAGGAGATGCCCTATGGTTGCAGTGATGGGATCTCTGAAGTAGCTCATTGCAGTTTCACATGTTACTGAGCAAGGCTGAGAGGGGTTTTGGTTTAGCTCGTGCAACTACTTCTGCCTCCCGCTCCCAGATGGTATCTCATGATACCTAAATCTAACAGTCAAATAAGAATTCAGATTAATTAATTATTAATTAATAGTTGGAGATAAAATATATTTTTTTCCTTTCTTTTGAGATAAAAACTAATATAAAACAGTCTCACCTTCAGAAGTAAGACTGGCTCTAGTATAGCACTCAGCAGTAGTTTAGGCTTACAGACATAAAGTCCCAGCTGTACTGAAAGGAGAAAGTGATGCTGGCAACTGTTTGACTATCAGTCAGGAAAAGCAATCCCCTCCAGGCCAATGTGGGTATGATGGTGAAGAGAGTATCTTTGCAGTGATGATATTAATAGCTCATTTGCAAATTTCTACCCAAATCTATTCACTTCAAAAACTCAGCTTGGGGACCAAGAGAGATATTTTTCAACAAAACATTAGTCTCAATTAACTAAATGTAACCAAGATAAATGAGCTGAAAAATCAGCAGCAGATAAAACTGGTGAGGCCATTAAATCTATAAAGGGAAGATGCTGAAACTTGGAAGGCACACGAATACAATCCTGCAAGTATTCCAAGGCAGGGTCAGAAAGGGATAATGAGGCCCTGCCAGGCCAGAGATGCTGAGAGGCCAGACGGTATTGACACAGTGAGTCAAACAACAGTGCAGCCCACAGCAAACACTGTGCACTAAGGTGGGAAAGAATTTTAATGAGCAATTTCAGTCTCATACATGCTATGAAAAAAGGACTTGGCATTGTTCCCAATGACAGTGCCCTCCAGATTAGAAACTAAATCACAGCATCCTCGGGGGAGGATGAAGAGAGATAGCAATAGAGTGTCTTTCTTTTTTCCTTTGATCCTGATGTACTAACAGTAACATGTGTTTATAAGGGCTACAGGGGAGTAAAAAGAGCAAGCTGAAGAATACAAATAAAATAAAATAAAATAAAATAAAATAAAATAAAATAAAGGAACGTAGTAGAATAGAACAGATCAACAATAAAGTAATTTTAGCTGATTTTAAGGCATTACCCCAAAGTTTTTTGAACACTTACAGCAGGTCATGCACTCTTAGGTAAAGAGTAACTTATTTAGTAAATAGGGCCCCTTTAAAAAACTATTTTGTTCCTCAGTTCTCTCAGAGGAGGCAGATGTACAGAAGCAAGTAATAACTTGTGGGATGATAGGTTCTGCCCTCAAAAACACCATGGAGGAACCGGCATGTACATTGGAAGCAAAAGGAACAAAACTCTCTTTAAGGCATCAAAAAGCTCAGCTGCCGCCTGCAAAATATCTGCAATATGTTATCAGCCCAGGGTAAATGAGTCAGGTGCTTCCCCCAGGAGCCATTACACCCCAGGCGGGCTGGGAGCGGGGCCCGGCAGATGGCTGCTGGGGAAGCCTTTCTGCCTGGAAAACTGGGAATGAAAAGTGCGTGCCCCCGAGCGCAGCCGATCTCTAAATGACTGACTCGCGGCTGCTCCATCCCCAGGCCCCTTTGCCGGGAGCGCTCCCACCCCGGGCGGTGCCAGCACCAGAGCTGTCTTTGCTCTCCGAGCCGGTTTTCCCGGCTTTGACCCGCTTTAGGCTACGAAAGCATGATGTGGGAAGTCGGCAAAGCTCCTGAAAAAGCCTACTATCACCATCGAATGAGAAATGCGCAGCTTATTTCCCCAGCTCTGCACAACGATGTGCCACGTAAGCCCTCCAGGAGAGCAACATTTCTGGGTTTATGAGCGATTGTGCTACCAGGCTATTGTGGGCTCGGCCCCCTTGTGAGAGCAATTCCCCAGCCAAGCTGCGGAGCCAGGGAAGGCCAGTTTGCTTCATCTGTTAGTGCCACGGCTTGTTAAAAGGACAGATCCTCTCCCTGCTGCGCCGTTCATTTCCATTTGATCCCGTTCATTATTTCTAACCAGCTTTTTATAAATCAGTGTCCTGCAAGAAACCTTGAAACCGAACGTAATGGAGACCTAGGCATGTACACTGCTCATATCCAGACAAAGAAATTCCTGTTAAACTGCAGATGTCTCTGTGTGGCACTGAATGTGCAACCTCGCTGCTGTTCACGTGGCTTCAAACACAGGTCTTCAGCAACTCTGAGCCAGCGCATGCAACAAGGATCATCTTGAGTGTCACTTGGCATCGAACAGACATATTCATCCTTTCAAACTTTCCTACTGAAATAATCAGCAACTGGAACACTTGAAAGCAACTAAATCTTTGAAAGAAAAGCTATGCAAGCGCTTTGTTCCCCCACAAACTTGGGATTACTGATATTTTTCTACCTATTTGGAGAGGTTATCATTTTTGGAAACATAAGGTAAATCTTTTAGAGAAAAGGCTTTCAACTATTTAGAGGTTTTATTTTGCCCCAGGTAGAGCCAAAAACCTTCAGTGTTCTCTACATCAGTGTCTTCCCTTAGGTTTTTCACTTAAAAATCAAAAAGATCAAATTTTACCTTGGTAGATTATTTCTATTATTTATTTGTGCATTTTCCTGTAAACAAGAGTGACTGCTTAATGGAAAGTTGTCTCCGGTGTTTCTCAAAGTAGAAAGTAACTGCTGTCCCAGAGGCAGCAATAATTGCTTGAATGGCAATGAATAATTGCTTGGTAACAGCCAGTGCAGGGCTTTGCTTTTCACTGGGAACCTGTTCCCTACACAGAGACTAATTAGCTACTGACTAAAGGAAAATGAAAATTGCAGAGCTGCTGTCCACTCTTACTCCCAGTGTTTTGCAAGGTGTTTCCTGACACCTCCCAGTCTCAGACCAGCCATGGCCTGAGTCCAAAGTCCTCCTTAGCATGTTTGGCCACCTGCTCCATACCCTTCCTCTGTGAAAGGATTTAAAACCACACTGCAGTTTTCCTTTCTCTAGAGCAAAATAAAATCTTCAATCCTCAGCTAGCACGGATGGGCTCTTCCAACTGGGCAAGGGGTTTTTGGTTAATCAGCAAGTGGTGGGGCTGAATTGCTGGGGAGGCACTGAGCCATCACTTTGGTCACTGTACTTCTAGTAAAATGTAAGGGAGAAGTGGATGGGACAGACAGACACATAGCTCCACTTTGTACTTTGTGGGCCAAGCCCCCAGCTCTCCTCACTAAGGGCTGTCATGCCAGGTTGACTTTGCCTCTGAGACTTTAGGAAATCCAGAGTTTAGATCAAATCTCTCTCTGCTGGGTTCTAATACAATGCTTTTGGGGAGAAATAAAGGCCCAGCTCTAAGGGCTACATAGATACACAAATGCTCAGAGAAGTTATTAGGAGGAAATTTCAGGAGTAACTTATCTGTGGCGACATAATTAAATACTATATTATAACGTGCATAAATAGGAAAATTGAGCTAAGGCTGCATTGGAAGATATAACTTGGTTATTTCCTAGTAACTGAATGTTTGGAATGTTTGGACTTTGGAACTGTAGCACTTCTTTATCCAAGCTTTCATGTGGCGTCTCAGTAGAGAACTTCAGTAGCTTCAGTCACAGGCTTGACAAGTATCTCCAGTGACCATGTCCCTTGTTGTCTTTCAGCTTCATTACACACAGCAAGCATGAGGGAGATGGAAAGAGTGAATGAGAATTGTAATTGCTTTGGAAAGCATGATGTTCTGTTCATGTTCATGTTTGGAGAGAGTCACTTCTTGGAGTAGCTCTTTTACCCTATGTAAAACAATAATGAAAAGGTTAAGAGGGAATGTAATGGATAATTATTTTAAAGGTAATAAATATATAATTGATTTCAAGCCTGCATTTTGCAGTAATCCAATCTTGCTCCCATTGGACTCCACAACACTTTTGAGATTCACTTGAAATGAATCAGGTTGCAGAGTTTCCACAAAGTAAAATCCAGCACTTAAATAAACTCTTTATTCTGAAATTCCAGGGTTGTCTTCAAAGATGCATAGTACTATTACTTCCATTATACAGATGTAGATGGTAATGTTACACAGAGTCAGCCAGGTAGTCAGGTGATGAAAAAACCCAGAATAATTCATAGCCTGCTTAAATAAATGAACTTCAATGAAGCTACAGATTGTATTTCCAATGGATAACTTATAATTTTTATTATTTACAAGGGAAGTTCAGATTCTTCTTGGAATACATTTTTAAACACCATTTGAAAACTGTATTTCAAATTTTTTTCAAAAATCAAGTATTACTTTATCTATATGCACTGTTAGTATACCTCTTATTGCCTTCCCTAAATCCCTAAATTAGCCTAAGGGCTCTTGGTAGTGCAGGTAAACTACTCACTGCAGGGAAGGACAGTGGTGGAGGCAGCTGTGGTACTGCAGCAAGGGGAAAGGGTGAAGGAGTCCAGGACGAAATGGGGCAGCCAGCACTGACAATTCTGGAAAGCAGGACCCAGCCCTGCACAAACCCTGCACGAACCCACCTGCTCCCCACAGCAGGGCAGCAAAATTCTCCAATTTCTGCACTGGGGAGGATGCATTAGTACTGCTGCAGCAACAATCACACAGGTGGCACTTGGCCTCTCCTGGACCTCAAACTCAGGCTTGGCATCTGCAGATTTGCAAAAATCTTTCATGAGTTGGGACTGAATCTTCCCAGTTTTCTCTAAAAGTGTCTGGCAAACACAGAAAGTGCATTTACAGCTTGTATCTTCCAACAGAGCCTCCAAGCTACTGTATGTTTGGTCTGCTTCCCATCAGGGCACCCATACCTGCAGTTTGGTTTTAGGGATCTTCCCAGTCCTCTAATGCACTCTCATTCCCCTGGGACAGGTTGTATATGTCAACAGGCATTTGCTTTGCATCATTATTCCAGGTCCTGGTTCACAGCTGAACATTGTTTAAACTTCTTGTGGCATAAAGGCACCTGGACTCCTTCCTAGGGCACGATGAAGATTTCTAGCAGTTACTTTATACTGATGATTTTGTCTCACAGCAATGAATTATTTCTCTTCTGTCTGATAATTCAATGTGTTTCAGTTGGAAATTATGTATTAAAAGACTCAGCAAACTGAAAATTAGCAGTGATTTTCTGTCCTTTTTTTTTTTTAATAATAAAATCAACCAGCGTTTCCAAAAATACTCTTCCTTTTCATGTGTCAATCACAAGCCAGAAACTGCTCTTGAATTATCGCTGCTTGTAGGAAACTGCCTTAACTTTACAGATACCAGAACAAAGTGCTTATTTTTGTTATCATGAAAGAAAAGCTCACACGTCCTTCAGCCTGCCTATATTTCAAAGCCCGTCAGAAGCAGAGGAGCAGGTGTAGCAGTTTCTCACATTCAGTTGGAAACAGTGATGATGAATTGCATATATGCCCCCAGATCTCTGCCCCTCCTCCAAAAGCCAATCTCTCAGATTAGGCTGAACACAAACAGGGCTGCACAGGACCACCTGCTCTCCCTTGTGCTACATAATATGTTCTCTAAGCCCAGATGTGCCTGGAAATGTAGTGAATCCAAGTTCAGAGGAGGCAACTAAGGGCAGTGGGGTATAATGGAGTGGGCTGCAGAAAAAGATAATTTATTTTCCAGTTGATAGACTGCTGAGACTCTCTTTCCAAAATGTATCTCTTGCCTGTTTAGCAAATGCCCAAAAGTAAATGCTACTGTACACCGTGCAACAACATTTCTGCTATCAGCTTACAGCAGAGACTGGTTTTCTTAGAGGAGTTTGGGCAGCAGCAGCTGCTACAGAGCAGGAGCTCACAGTGTGACTAGAAAGTCTTTTTTCCTGTGCACCTTCATCTCTTCCTTCTGTATGAAATCCTACTTGTACAGGTTCCTGAGTGATTTAATCAAGGGGCTGGTTAGTTCATGGGATACATTTTTCCACCTTTTGTCTATATCTAGTTCACACTTTGTAGCTTTGGAGACCTCACACTAACACTGTAACCCTCACTGTAACTTTCACTATATGCCAAAATGGATACTCTAACAAAATCAGAGATAAATTTCATTCCAAATATGGTTCTCAGACCTAACATTTCAAGGACAGCTAAACTGCCAACCATTTTATGTTTGCATCTTAATTTATTAAAAAAAACCCAAATAAAACAATCAACAAATAACAAACCCAACCAACCACACACCTCCCCCCCCCAAATTAAAATGGATGGAACCAATGTGTACTTGCAGTCCAGCTTAAATTGTTCAGGTAGTCCCTTTTGTCCAATGTCCTTCTGCTTGCTTAACCACCTGGTAGCAGAAATGAGATGAGGAGATTGGCAACAAGAAATATGGTGCTGGTAGGAATGAGACTGTTAGGAAAAACACGAGAGACAAGGAAACACAGCTTCTCCAGTTTGGTCTGAGGAGCTGCAGAGCACGTCCCAGATGGCACACTAGACACTCCCAGAACAAGGTGATTTCTTTAATCAGAGGGATCTGAAGGCAGCTGAGAGTCTGCCATATATGAAACGTACTGTGCTTATGGAGACAGCTGCTGGCTTTGGCTCTGACAGCAAGGGGGAACCTCTGCCAGGGCCTAGCAGCCCCAGTGCCTGCTGTGATTAGAAACAAAGTAATTTTCACCTGGGTGCCTGCGCAAAGTGCAAAGCCTCTTGGGCCCTTAGTCCCTACCCCAACCCCAGATACTCACGTTGGGGCTGGGAATGTTGTTCTCACCCCTCCAGCCCCGCTGCCAAGCTGGGCACCTGTGTGGCAGTGCACAGGGCTGGCTGGTCACTGCAGCGCTCCAGGGCCACACCACCATCCCAGTGTGGACACTGGAGACAACAGTACCACATGCCAAGTGTGCCCTGGGGGTTTGTATGATTCACGTGATTTCATGGAGTGAAACAAGAGCAGAGCAGTAAAAGGTATCAAGAGGCACTTTTAACCAGAGCCTGATCAGATAAGCATATTTCAGATGGGTTCAGAGGGAGCTGACGAGATGAGGGTCGGTGCAGGAAAAATGTGGAAAAGAGAGAGGGAGAGAGAAGAGAAAAGCATATGAGGTGGTTTCTGTTACTTTTTATTGGTGCTGTAGACTATATATTTAATAAGAAAAGCATTTCAGTCATGTCAAAATACCCCAGTACTTCAGTACAAGTCCTCATAGTTGCAGAGATGCCATCTTCTATGTCTCTGATTTCTCCCTCAGGTTTTATAGATTCCATGTCAGTGTTTGTTCCCAGTCCCCAAGACAGTCTTCCCAGCTCAGCACATTCAGTTCTGCCTGGTTTTACTTTTCTTATCTTACATGGTTTCAGTTTACAGACTCTCAGAGCTCAGTGACAGCCTTCTCAGTGACAGTGAGCCAAGGTCAGGCAACAAAACCAGCCAATGGCCAAGGCCAGCTGGAGCCCTGGGCTGTGGACCACGCTGTGTTCCTGAGCATGAGAGCATGATATTCTGTGCACACAATAAACTGAAATACATATACAGTCTGTATGCATGTACATTATATATACGTGTGCATATACATAAATTCTTTCACGTTTTCTGTCTCTCAAAACACACAGTAAACTGAACAACATGTCCTGGAAACCTTCACAGTCAGGAAGAAGTCATACAGCTTCAGATAAACAGACTGCTAAACTATAAATGCCCATCCCATGCTAAATACAATTTCTTAGGTTTAAATAAAATTTTCAATGCTTTCTTATTACTTTAGATCAGAATTATTGCCGGACAAAAAGTAGAACCACCCCTCTCAGCTCCCCCTAGATAGCTGTTTCCCGGCTACCTAGCCTCCCGGCAGCAAGAATTTACAAAAATCTCTCAAGAAAACCACAGCTCTGCTTTTATAGTAAGATTTTAAGGCTAGAAATAGCCTGCTTTAGTCATGGCCATGTTTAAAGGAACTGTTTAAGGTGTCAGAATTTCAGTCTTGGGCACTAATTCACAGACATTTGGCAGAATTGTGTCCAGCTTCTCACTATTCACTGGATCTGACTTTTGCTACCACTTTCCCCCCATTTATTACTTTCTACATATCAAAGTCTGATTTTAAAAATAGCTCTTAATTTTTGTGTCATTCCTTCATGAATCTGAGTAGGAAGAAAACCCCAACATCCCCTAATCAATTCGAAATGTTGCAAAAATCACCACTTTCAAGCTTTCTGGGAATGATATCAACTTATCATATATCTGCATGCTCATACATATGCACCTCTTCTCCTCTTAGGTCAAGTTATAATAACAAAATAATGTCTCCTCATTTTCCGATCCACTGAAAATTGTTGCATACACACACTTTTCCTTTTGTTCAGAACTTATGGCAGTTCGTAAAATCCTGCTGTCAGAAACAGAGTGACAACACAGTGTCACAACACGAAATGACAACACAGTTCACAGAACTTAAGTCTGAACATTTCAGAGGATACCTGAGGCCAAAAGGGAAATAAAACTCTCAATTTGCAGTCCAAGTATCAGCCTGGAAGAAACCTAATTAAATTAATTACAAAATGCTTATTACAAGAATATTTTTTCCAAATTTTATGATTCTGGTATTTTGAGTTGTAATATAGAGTTAAATTTATCCTACAAAGACTGATTTTAAATTATTCCATGAAAAGGCTTAGAGAATTAAAAAATAGTTATGCTAAAATGACTTTATGACAATAGGTGACGGTGAAGAATTTGAGTGCATTACAGAGACATCTGCTTTGCAAACCAAAAAAAATTACCAAGGTGGTCTCAATGACACTCCAAATGTTGCTTAATTCTTCTGTCTAACCTCTAAAACCAGATCTACAAACAGCATCATCACTAACAACATCTATTACAGCTATCAAAAAAAAAAAATAGTAAGGCAGCGTACAGGAGGGAATTTAGGAACACAGGACTGGATAATTGTTTCTGGGGAATTGGAGACAAATGTATCATATAATTGATTTCATAAGTTGATCAAAATACATCTTAAATTAAAGTGACAGGAAACTCATAGGGGAGATAGAAGGGACACTGGAGGTTAAAGAGACCAATTTTTGTCTTTTTCGTGCTTACCCACATAGCCACAGCAGCCATAAGGCACAATAACTCATCAGTTGCTCAGCTGCACAATTACTTTTAAGCTGTTTCATTTATATGTAATTTGATTTATGAAACAGATCATGCATTAATACAAGGAAAAAAAATCTCATCACTGAAGATGATTCTTCTGCTGCCCCAGAACTCACGAAAGAGCCACCACCTTGGGAGGTGGGAGACTCACTCTTCACCCCAAGGCTTAGCACAAGTAGCTAAGTGCTCACAGAAGGCAAATGTTATTTTGGACAGATTTAAAAAGAAAAGTAATTTATATTTCTTCATTTCCCCCGTCAGCTGTCAGCTGTGCCTTGCGGAAATGAGTAACGATTTGTGGTATTGGGCACTACAGAGATCTTAGTAGTTTGTGAAGTAGTTTTCAACTGGCTTTTATACAGCATTGGAAAGTTCACTTTTCACTTGGTATCTTCCGGCTCAGCTTTGCCACTCTGCATTTGAACAGGGGTTGAATGGGTATCAGGTTTGATTTGCCTTTAGTAAAGTAATTCTCGTGTCAAGCCAAAGTACCAGAGTGGATAGCTGTGTCTGTTTTGCATCCAGATGCCTCTGAGAAGGAAGGTACCTGTACTTATAACTATTTCTTTTTACAATAATATAAATGCATAAGAAAGTAAGAGCTTTACCATCAGTGATCCAGGAGCACAAGGAACAGAGACTCTGGCAATTCAGGTGCTGTGCAATTTGAGAATGTAACATCTTTTTGTAAAGGAAATGAGGACTGCTTTTCAGTAATCATCAATGTATCTTCAGCACCTAATATAAATTCAGAGAATCCAGCATATTCTTTTGATAATAGATGAAGTGAAATCATATAATTTGGAAGTATATGAAATATTTAAGTATCTGATGATTTTCTAAAATGTGTAGTTCTAGATTTCTGAGACTGAGGAAGTGAAAGGGAGAGAGAGAAAGAGATTATGTTACTAACTTGGGGAAGCAAACCCCCATGTTGCATAATGGCCCATTGTATCCCACCATTTAGAAACCCTTATAAAAGTACTTTAAAAATGTAATTTATTTTCAATGGACAGACCTGGTTGTCTATTGAAGCTAAACAACTCATTTCAAGTACAATTATTCCAGAAAAGTCTTTCATCAAAAAACATAATCCAGTGATAAATCACTTAGAGCAATAAAATCACTTGCATGAACAAACACAGCTTCTGTCAGTAATTGTGCTTCCTTGCCCTAGGCACAAGTTTGTTACATATGGGAAGTGATAATACTTGTGGTTACAGTTCCCAGTATCATTTTCCTTTCCCAGTTCACACTTACTCATACCTATGCCTACCCAGCAGCAGTTACATAAGATGCAATTCCCAACATTTATAATCCACCTCTTGCAAACAATAAACCGCATCAAATTAGCCCCTGACGTGCTTTGTACTAACAAAGTAATTTGCAGATCCATCATAAAGTATCAGGACTATTATTTGTCTGCAGTCAGTATGGACTTTTTTTCTGACAGTGTTACCTGCAAGCTCTTGGTTACACGAACTCTTAGTTGCTGTCATATAACTCAGGCAAAAGGACAAATTTAGTGCAATCTCTTTCCCGCATTTCTGGGAGTTGGAGTACATATCCATCTGATCCAACATCATGAGATGTCCCAGAAGCAACATCAGCAATGCTCAAGACCACTGATTTCTACTGGTGGTGTCCATCGCACCCTACACGTTATGGCTTTTTGGGAGACCCTGAACCCTGCCATTACCTTGACTAACCTGTTCACTTGTTTAGCTGTGTATAGTTCTGTTTGCAGACTATCCTTCACTACAAGCCCTTTCTACATGGCAGTCATCAAAGCAGAGAATGTTCCTTTCCTCAGTACGTTTGTTTTCCCTGTTTTTAAACCTCCTCCCTAGGACAGGCTCATTGCTCTTCTCAGAGGAACCTTGTCCCCATCTACTCACCTAATGTACTACAAAGAAAATTCAATGTCTAACTTGAAAGGTAACAGCCACAAATTATTTACTTCCTCATCAACCTTTCCTAATTACTATGTATAACTTTCTTCATCCAGCCATTTCCACACCCTTGAAATAGACATTTTCACCACATTTCTTTAAAATTTGCAGTATATAGGAGATGTTCAGGCCCTCAAATTTTACTGGTAGTCATCATGAGACAATAAACTCAAGTTTGTCTCTGCAGTCCTTGTGCCAGATTCATCCAGCAGGTAGGTTCTACCTGCCTAATCATTCTGAAAGTGGTTTTTTTTTGACTGACAGTTGTTTTCAGTGAACAAGAATTCATACCCTGCTTTTCATAGCCATCTTTGAGAAATAAGCATGTTAGGAAAAAGAATATCTGCTTAATGTCAAAGAAGTACCCTGTCTCTCAGCAAAGACTGTCATTAGTGTCAGCAGTGGATGTAGCTGCTACTCCAACCTCTCAGCTGTGTTAAATGATAGAAAGAAAAACCAGAGGGCTCTGGCATCAGTGGGGGCAGCACATGGAGCAGAAAGATTAACAGGAAATGTACACATGCATTAGAAAAGACACCACAGAATTTTTGCTACCACAAAACAATAAGGCAAACAAACAAATAAACAACTACTCCATTGTATTCCTTTCCGTTGACTTGAAATAGACTTGAAAAAAAAAAATCCACAGTTTACACTGGATTCCAGTTTAAGCATAAACTTAAGGTTATAGCTTTTTTTCCAAAAAAAATGCAACTAGGGCACTAGCTAAAATGGAAACAGAAATGATTACTTAACTCAGGTCTGATCTTACAGAGTCAGCAAAAGAAGCAAAAGTAAGATCAGGACCTTACCCATGAGGGAGAAAAGCATAATATGCATGTCCCTGTTATATAAAACCTAGTACACTTGTATTGGTTTAGCAGGTTGTATTATACTCCCTTCATGCTTGTATAAAATGAATAACAAGCAATGTATTCTTTTTATTCATATATATAGCAAAGATTCCAGGAAAGTGAAAAAGATACAAAGCCTGAAAGAAAGCAGGGCTGCCTGTGGGCTCAGTGGCCAACCTGGATGACAGGCATCTGAAAATACGCTTCTTGGCACTTGTAACATTAAGCTATGAAAAATCCTTCCCTGTGAATACTGTTATGTGCTCTTCTTTAACCCAGCATTCACTAAAAGCTGCATCATAACCAAAACCCCAAACACTGGGGTTTTGCATATAAGACCATGATATTATTTGTGCTCTTGATTTATATAATTGATTTTCTTATTATTTTATATTCTTTTATTAAGCAAAATTGATTCCGGATTTACCATTGGAAAGTGTCCATAGTAGCATATAATGCCATGAATTAATATGCTGTTTTGCTGACCTGGAACCATCACATATTTCTGTGTACTCCACATATCAATCAGTATTAAACTAATTATCGTTAATGTTTCTGACTTACTTTTAATTACATTTTATAAAAATTAAAACACAAAAATCTCATATAACATTACAAATGCTTATGACTGCCTTTCACTTAGAGCTCTTCAAAAACTGCAAGAAATTACCATGTCTCGTAAACTCCTGTTAGGAATGCCACCTTGTGGATAAAAGCTGTATGGACCAACGATTCCAGGTAAACTTCACCAAAATTTTTACTTGCAAAAAAATACCCGTTTTGCAGAAATGAGCTATTCACGTGTGACCTTTCAGAATTGTGAAGAATTCTTTTATTAACTATTCTGGTTAAAAATGACTGTGAATATGGCTTTCCCGTCCTCATCTGTATTAAATGCTAATTAATTATGCAGGGAGCACTAGTTTCATTAGAGATGGGATGCATTTATTAGCATTTTAAACAGAACCAGATTGCCACATGTACTTAGTAAAAAAGTCCGCTAAATGCTTACTCTATTTAGATATAATTTAGTGAATTATTCTAAAATGTATAGAAAATACATTTTTCTCATAATATATTGCTAGAGCAGAACCCTTTGAGCACATTTTAACTTCTCTAAGCTTTATGGGGCATCTTTGGTTGGTATATAAAAGGTCGAGTTTAACTACAAATAAGGAAACACTGGATTTTTCATTTTGTCTTATATAGATCCTGTTACAAGCTGAAAATGAAGTGAAAATAGCCATTGTATTGCAACTTGCTTGTGAAAGCACAGAGAAATGCCAGGTAAACAAGAATGGAAAGAAGGGGTCCAAGAGCATCTAATAAACCTTAAAAGATCTCTAACTTTTAAAAGCTTGGAAAAATAAATAATAGTTAGCTACATTCAATAAAGCTGACATTTACACAGGCACTTTCCTTCTGTGTCTGTTCACCTCATTTTCATAATGAAAGTATATATAGCCCAAACCATCACAGGACTTATTGTATAATGAAATTTAAAACTAATGAGCCATATCCTAATAGCCATGAGTCAAGTCAGAATGTGCATTAGTAGATCATTTGCAATTCTCTAGAGACAGAAAGAACAAAGCTAAACGTATCCAGTAGCTTATTTAGCACACAACTTGTTCTGTGTACTGATCACACTACAGCAGAACTGAAACGAGTTCACAATCTCTGGCTCTCAAACCTCTGTGAAATTCTGTCAGCAGACAAGTTACTCCCGGGGCAGCCAAATATGTCTTGTGATTATTTGCTTTGACCTGTTGTGTAATATGGATCTGACTTGTCTGAATTGGTCCTCTTTCTATCAAATCACATTTTTTCATGAAATCATCTAACATGTCCAGACAGGGAAATCTTTACTATTCTGTTATGTACCTTTATCCCTTCTTCTAACATGTCCAACTTCTGCTTAGAATTGCTGGATCACTCTTTCACTGCTAGATGGAAGTTATATTTTTTTTCTCTAAAGATGGTTTGTCTAGGCTAATTCTTTCACTAAACTAAGTAAATTCTGTTTGTTGAGACTCTCATGCCAGTGCTTTTTTTTAATCCTTTTATTGCTCTCATGGCCTTTTCTGTCCAACTTCCCAGCACTACTGAAAATTATGACTCCTGGAATTGGGCATAGCATTCTTTCAAAAGGTTACACCAGAGTCAAGTACAGTCAACAATATTACTTCCCTGACAGTATTCCCATTTCTAAACCTCAGGATCTCACCAGCCCTTTTGGCTGCAAGGCATGCTAAAAATTCATGTTCAGTTGAGAACGCACATTGTCTCCACACACCGTTCAAAGTCAGCATTTCCTACCACAAATTGTTCTACTTGCTAAGTATGTTCTCAAACCCCCATGCTAGTAGAAACTCCGGTTTATTTAGGCCACAGGGAAATGCAAGTTGCTTACAGCTCCCAACCAAGCAATTCATCTTACTCTCTTTAAGCAGTTCCTTTAGTATTTAAGTTTTGTGGCATCTGTAGATTTTTTTACTTTTACTTTATTTCCTCCTATGTTCTTAACAAACTCATGGTCAAGAGCCAAATCCTGTGTGAACTCACATAACAAATCTGTTCGATCTTTCCAGTTTGACTCAATTATTGTCATGATGAATTTTACATTTTTGGGTGACACCCTGCATGTTTCCCAGTTCTGATAAGCATGCTGAGTACATTTACTCCTGTGGAAAAACACAGTAACATTTAAATCCTCCTTAAGCTGCTAATATATGTTCAGAATCAACTGGTCATTCACTTTAATTCACTGACATTAACTACTCATCACTGTTTCAACTATTCAAGTGATTTTTAAGCCCATGATCCTGAAATAATATTCCAAGTGAATGAAGGTTGGTCCACAATTGTTAAGACAACCAGCTCATGTCTCTACTGAACTAAGTGTGAATAAGAAAGATTAAACAGTCAGAGATTTTCTTTTCCATACTAATTCCTCAAAATACAGTAGGCTTCCCATGCAGCACCAGGCAAGTCTGTGTGCAACATAAACAGAGTGCTCAGACTTTTGCTATTTTGGATCTGGGATTCTTTTCTATACGTACTTTCCTTCCAGAATGATGCAAATTATCTCACTAACCATCTCAGTCTCAGCAAAGTGAATTACAAGATTATCGGTTACTATACATCTAGCTTTCAGGGAAACACAGGATGGAACACATCTTTCAAGAGTTAAGAATATCAAATTCTAAAACCCACTTCTTTTAGTGGATTTTCTTTATATCAGATTGATAAGGATTTACAAACATATTTACAAAGAAAGTGCTACAGCATGGATCCTCCAGTTTTATTTGGAAAAAAATATGGTGGATACAAATGAGTAATGCATATTTCAGGAATGCCAAACATGATATACTTAATAGCATTGTGTGTTCTTGATGTCCTTGAAGAGTGAAGTTGACAGCACGAAAAACAAGAATCTTCCCTGTAGAGTTCCACCAGCTAAAATATTCCATTGCCTCAAAAACATAAATAGTAATTATTTTTGAATTGTAAGATACTGAGAAAACAGAATTATCTTCTCAAGTTGTCCCTATGTGCTCTATTCACCCTTTACCTCACATCACTCTTTGTCACCCTGAGAAGGGCTGTAACTAAAGGCAAGTAATGAGCAGCTGGTACATGTATAAGCAAAACAGTATTTTACACATAAACATTCCTGTAATAAAAAGTGTAAGTACAGACATTACGTTTGTCCTTACATTTGTTACATTCATCCTTAAGGTTTTTCATGTAGTAGCAAGTGTTCAGCAAACATTTATCTATACAGACAAATAACAGCTTAACTAAAGCTATGCTTTTACTCCAGGTCAACAAAGCTAATGCAAAGGTGTATCTAGTGGCAATGTGTATCTGTGCACACTCACACTCTCTGTCAACCCGGCTTTTATTGACTGAGACTGAAAGATCCTATCGCTAGACAAACAGGAGCAAACTGTGTATTCAGCAAGCCTAAATGGCTTAAGGAATCCTCCTAATCAGCACCATATAGATTTGCCCTTGTGTATCATTGGCACACCATTTTTGCCTTAAGAAGTTAATAGAAAATACTGTATGACAGCATCCAGTGAGCACAATGTCTGCACACAGAACACACAAGGCAAAAAGAGGTCACTTGTGTCCACTCTTTAATGCCTTTTGAATATTTCATAATACTGACAGTGGGGGAGAAAAAAAGACAGTAACAGCAGCACAATGTTTGTCAAATCACAGTATATTGTTAACACTAAGAAAATCCAGGCTGGGAAGACAGGAGGGTTGCTTCCCTCTCTATCCTATGTCCCCACAGCCAGCTATACTGAGTACACTGGAAATTTTTTCTCTTCTATTTCCCCAGGCCCAGCAGAACAAGGCAAGCCAGGAGATTGTACATCACAGCTGCCAGAACACAGCATCAGCACCAGGTCACAAATGCTGTGCATATCCAGGATCACAACACTACTGCAGCATTTTAGAGTGCCCATTACGAGGATCCACAAGCAGATGTAGCGCACAAAAATAGTTCACTGAAATTAATTATTTTTTGAAAATGAGCAAATACTGTAATGTAAAAGCGTTCAGACATTCTGAGAAATGTATTAATACCTTATGTGCTCTTTAACCACTGCCTTTAAAGACCTTAAGTCCACATTGAAAACCCTTAACTAGGTACAACTGCTCATTTTTTTATTTATTCAATTTGTATCAACTGCTATAATGGCTCATGCAATAGGAAAACAGTAACTGGAAGTTTTACTAATACTTTCTACTTCAAGCTTGAGTTACTGCCATAAACTTCGAAATACTGATTGAGTCATGCCAAAATAATTCCCCTGCTAGTTTAGTTCTGACTGGTTTATCTAACAGTGAGTTATCTCAGGGTAGGATATTGGCTTCTAGTCTAATCTCAGAACCTCAGCTTTCTCTTTCAGGTACTTTCTGTGAAAACAAGCTCTTCTTTGAAGACATTTTTTAAAGTATTGTAACTGTATGACAAATTGACCCATGATGTCAAATGGCATTAAGCCCCATGGAACCACTGCAGGATCTCCACTGAGTTCTGAAGCTGAAACAATTCCTGTTCCAGTAACTCAGTCCAGGCAGTTGACTTTATTTGGGTTTGGATTTGTTTGGGTTTTTTAAGATTTAGAATTCTGATCTTGTACTGAGCACATCCAGAGAAAGCATTAATTTTTTTTCCACTTGGAACTACTGTAAGAATCAGACTGAAACATAGAGAAATACAAGGTGGATGTGCCTTATCACCGACACAAGCAATGTTTCTTTTTTGGCAATATGCTTATGCAATTCTTTCTTACGGAACTTGGATTTTTTTTAAAAAATTACATATTTATGGTCTTTCCCATGTTGTGTCTGGAAAATGACAATTCCCCTGTCACATGAGGAAACTGAATGAGTCAGGTCTTTTCAACCTGGTGGAGGTTCAGGGGGCTTTCCAGTACTTCAGTGGTGGCTAGAAAGAGGACAGAGGCTCTCTCTTCACAAGGAGACACATGGAGACAAAGGGGAAGTTGCACCAGGAGAAGGTTCCTCTTGATATAAGAAAAAAATTTTTCCCAGTGAGGACACTCAATCAGTGGAACAACCTCCACAGGGATGTGGAAGAGCCCCATCGCCCAGATGCCTGGGCAGGGTGCTAGATAATCTCATCTAGGCTCCCTTTCCCACAAAAGGTTGGACTGGGTGATATTTTGAGGTCCCTTCCAACTTGGGATGCTCACGATTCTGTGAAAACAAAAACTTATTTTTCAAAGTTACTGCAGAAATAGTGAATGAGGATTGAGCAGAGAAAAGAAGTACAAAAGTTCTAAAAAGGTATCCAAGAATGGCATTACTTAGAAAGCTATTGTGTTACACCTACGTTATCAGCTACATTTAAATATACTGTATAATGCAGCCACTGTGGCAAAGTGCTTGGGTCTTTTACCTTAGGCTGGAAGAAATTCTTTAAACGACAATTCTTTAAAATAGTTTACTAGGTGGTGTCTTCTTCACCTCTTATGTGGCAAGAAGGCACACGGAGGAAGCTGTCAGATATGATAACAGTTCAAAGTCCCAAGTGAATCTTGACATATAGCAAATGTTGCCTATCAAAGAGGCAAAAAATGTTAACAATTACCAGATTATTTGAATCTTGGTGGGAAAGTTGACCTCCCATCTGATGACGGGCAGCTCTTTACCTGTAACTGGGTGCCACTCAAAACTGGCCAATACATCATTTTGCCATATATCTTAGTGTGAAATGTAGTTTATTTTATGTCATTGCCAAATATATCCCCAGGTACCAGAATACATTTCTCCATAACCACATGATCTCCTAGTACAACCTACTCTATCTTTTTTCTTCAGAAAAAAACAATAAAGAGCCTGTCATTAGCAAAACCACACAGATCTATTTTAGGTTACATAATGAATACCTCTGATGCTATCACACTGGAATTCATCCTTCACTTTCCT